TATATAAAAATGTTACATGTTCTATGGTTTAAGCATATATGAGCTTCGATTGGCAGTAGAACTGTTGAGATTGTACGGTTTGTGACAGTTCTAGTAGCCATTTTTTCTCCAATCGGGCTTTTACAAATTTTTATTTGCCTAAAGTTGTCAAAGCCCCTTTCTTCTTTTTTCTTAAGTTTTTCACTATTTTTTTTAACTGTCCTTGGCTTTGTGTAAATAAATAAAATTTTTCTTTTTTTCTTTTTTCTTTTTTCTTTTTTTTTTTGTTTCTTCCAAAAAAGTAAAAACACATCACTATCATTATATATATTTTATCACAAAAATAAATTATTTAATTAACAATTATTTTTTCTCTTTATTTTAAAATCCATTTCTCCTAGAAAAAATTTCTTTATAACTGAAAGAGTTGTTTGCTTTGTTCTCATGATACTATTAACTGTGAGCATGTAGATTAAACTGTTCCAAGAACTAACAAATTTCATTTATTCAAATATTTGTTTTTAACGTTTTTTGGTATTTGAGAAAGAATAAAGTAAACAGTCACATGAAATTAAGATTTTGATATAGCATGAATAAACTAAAGAGACATATGACGAGGCATAACGGCTCTTGTGTCATGTTTCATCAGCTCAAATATCTTTAACAATAAAATTGGTTTTTTTCTCTCGGGGGAATTAATACACGTGGCACTATATTTTCAATAGGCCTTGCGTGTGTTTTTGGGGTTTTGATTTTGTTTGTTCCTCCAATTCTGAAGGCCCGTTAATTGTTTATGAATATCCAAGATATAGGGTTTCTACGTTCTTCCGCCGCCGCCGTGATTTTGTAGAGTTGGCCAGAGACTCCAATACAGTGGTGGACGTTACGACTCTTCCTTCTGCTCTCCTTTAATCCACATTAATCTGTGGTTATTCCACTTCACCTCATTCAATACGACCCTTAGGCTTCATAGATCGACCATTTTTTTATTCTTGTATAATAACCCCTCTTACAGAAGTGAGATTCACAACTCCATAGAGAAGAAAAATCACGGTCTGTTGAATTTCCTGAGATTACGATGGCTATTTCAAATATCTTACTTTCGGACCTGAAATCCGGCAGGTGCTCCAACACGGCGAAGGTCCGATTACTCCGATTCTGGGAGGCTCGAAACGCCAGGAAAGGTAGCGAATTGATGAGTGTTGACATGCTGTTTGTTGATGTGAATGTAAGACTCTTTTTCCTTTTACACTATCTTTTAAGTACCAGTGAATCTCATATGCGAGTAAATGGTTCGAATTTGATTGTTTATTGAAATTTTTATTGTTACAAAAGTATAAGAGAGACATAGATGTATCACTTGGAAAGATAGTTTTTTCACAGAAACCAAAGATTCTCACCATTATTTGTTTGCAGGAATGGTTTCCAGAAGCTGATAAGATCAAAGATTCAACTAGACAAAGCAAGCAGCTTGAGGAACCAAAAGTTATGGATTGGCGTTGTTTTATCGGCTTTTTCAGTTCAAGTTTATTTTGTGAAGAGAGAGTATTTGTTGCTTGGGTCATCTTCTTGCATTTTCATGTGACTGAGTTTGTAAGTCTCAGAAGCATCTTTACGGTTTGTTTTCTAATGGAATGTACTGTTTCATAATTGCAGTGCTTACTTCTTTTCTTTATATATGGATGAGATGAGATGTGACCGAATAAATTTCTAAACATGATTCAGTCATCTCCATATTTATTATGTGTGATTCATGCCAGGTTTGTTAAAGACTTTGACTGTGAAGCTCTCCTGAATTTTAAGTAAGCAATTAAATGACTATAAACAATCTGTGGTCTAATTTATTACTCCATCCGTTTCAAATTATATGTCATTCTAGAGTAAAATTTCCGTTTCAAAATAAGTGTCATTTTAGGATTTCAATGCAAAATTTATTGATTTTAAATGTTATTCTATTTTTGCATTGGTTGAAAAGTGGTTAGGTGCATAGATAATTGTGTTTTTTTTTTTAATATGTAAAATTAATTATTTTCTTAATCTGTGTATAAAAGTCTAAAATGACAACTAAATTGAAACGGAGGGAGTATATGCTAAATTTTATACATATGAACTTAGTAAATAGTTCCTTTTTTGGCCACTGAGGGGACATAGAAAAAATGGGAGAAAAAATAATGTTACCCTCATCTCAGAGGCTAGGGGTTCCTCAACGATTCTTTGGTGTGGTAAGATACTTTTCTTTAGAAGTTACATGAAGTCACTGTAGTTGGAATCACATTATTATTTCCTAAAGTTAGATGCTTATGTCTTCATTACATATGTTTCTTTTAAATTAACAACCTCTTAATTTTCATCCCTAAAGCTTAGAATCTGGGCCTTTCGAAGATATTCAGAATCGGATACATGATGCGGTGGAGGAATTTGCAATAACAGGTAATTGCCACATTAGCACTTATTTTTAAGCATATGACACTATTTTGGTAGCATATATAAGTTAAAAGATAGTGAATTATTTCCCAACATTTCTAGCAAATAATGACTTACACGATCTCATACAAGAAAGGAAATGCCAACTTGGACTTTTCACGTGGTTCTTATATCTATGTCTCTGGAAAGACATGTCTCTTAGCTGGATCAGAGGATGTGCACTTAGGTTATAAATTATAGGATTGGGCCGAGGGATAAGCCGCAACGTTGGGTTTGGAGGATTGCAAGGAGAATGTTGACAGAGATGGTGGCGATGACATAAGATGAAATGACGGTAAAGAGAAGAAACATGTGGTACTGGACTCCAACAAAAGTTAACTATCTTAGGATGTTTTTTAACCAGTATTCCACTTCTGAGCAGCCACTGATCGATATGTGTAAAAGCAAAATCGTAGTCGTGTGTATGTGAAAGAGAAAAAATAAGCAGCTGAAGAATCAAGTGAAAAATAAGGGATACTTTTATGCAACAATTGTTATTTTCAGATCAGCTTTCTCTATTTGTAGCAGAGAATATAAAGATAAATAAGTTTTGCAATAGTGGTCATTTTTACTGTAATTTCCCAAGTGTGTGAGTTGTTGTGTGTAGAAAAACAAACATTCGTTTGTCATCATCGTATGAGTTTTTATTTTTGATCAGAAAAAGAGAGAAAATAACATTCAAGGTCATCATTGTGAAATCCAATTAGGATTTCTCCTCTGTTTTTGCGGATTGTTATGAAACTAGGGTATGCTTCTGATTTTCATAGCTCTCTTTAAATCTTTAAAAAACAATTCTAAGCTTCAAAACAAGAAACACTGCAGTTTTGGTGTGCATAATTGTTTGCTTGGTGACATATTCTTTGATTAGGTAATTATATACTCTATCCGTTTCAGAATACTTGTGATCTTAAGCTTATTTTTTTTGTTATAAATTAAGTGTCGTTTTAGAGTTTTGAGAAAAAATTTATTAGTTTTATATAATATTCTATTTTTCTATTGGTTGAAAAGTGGTTAGGTGTATAGGTAATTGTGTTTTTATCTTGAAAATATATAAAATTAAATATTTTCTTAATATGTGTGTAAAAATCTAGAATGACAAATAAAGTGAAACGGAGAGAGTATATGTTTTGCCATGTTATCATTGCTACTATGTAGAAAACTAAGAATGAGATATTTGATTAGATATGAATTATATACTTTCATTCAATACAACCAATACTAGAAAGACTAAATGATTTAGTTATTTCTTTAAGAAATTTTTTTTTTTAAGAAAACATTTATACGCAGTCTCGTTCATCTTAATTTTCAAATTATTAATGGTTACACCACATTTAATTTATTTTGGTTAAGTTATGTTTGGTTCACTCAAAGTAAATTATTTAATAAGATAGGGTATAAAACTCAAGTAAAATTATGTTAGAAAATATAATACTTTATTAATTTATAACACTATTAATCTATAAAATATTTTCAAAGTAGGGTACATCTGCCCTACGGGCGGGAATCAGATCAGCAAATAAGTTAAGTAATCAGATCTTTAATATTGGTTGTTATTATTTAAAAATATAATATTAATATAATTTTGTATATGTTATTGTATTTAAAGACTAAATGAACCATATTATCATAATAATTAGTTAAGCTTTTTAAATTAAATATCAATTATTATTTTCTTAGAATTTGGTTTTCTAAATAAACCATGTTATCTACATGATTGGCTATGGATTTAAAATACAACAAAATAAGGTTAAATTTTTTTTCTTTTGTTTAGTAATTGTTTTTTTAATTATAAACTAATTATTAAATGTGGGTTTACATCACTTCTTGTGATTTTTCGTGGTTAGATGATTAAAAAATAGGTGAGATTCTTTTTCTTCATTTTTGATTTAGAAAATAACCAAAATTTTTATTGTTACTAAATTTAGTTTTACGGTAGGTTTTTGTTAGGATTTTATAGAATTAATTATAAACTTATTTATCTTATATTTTTTACTAAATTTAGTTTTACGAAGCCACTATTTCTTAACTTAGGAACACATACTTCAGCCTCAAACATCTAAAACTGTAAGTATCATAATAGTTATTCACTTGTTGCCTACAATACTGTAGGTATAGTGAGTCTTATTCAATTTCATGTGTAATTTAACTATACATAATTATTATTTTCTTCTTGCATAAAAAATACTGACATTAGAGATTGAGCAAAAACCATATTCTTCTTAGCTTGAGCTCTTTCATAAAGAAAGTAGGTGAAAGTGACACAACTAAAGAAATCTAAGAAGAGAAAAACATACTAAGTTACAATTCTACTCTTTGTTTTGATCCAAAAGATTACCTAAAAACAATCCAATATTTATTAATCTGATTAGTATATCCGCATGTGTAAGTGGAAGTTTCTGTTTGGAAATAATCTAAGGTATTAAAACAACTTATTTTGTTGCCCACTTGAGAGTGTCTTCATCGCCTTTAAGCAGCTTTAATACCTGCATCCTTACATATTCGTTAAGAAAACTGTATATAACTATTAGAATAAATTAACATAACATGACTTACACTGCTCATTTTCGATCTAGCTTCAGCGCTACGCTAACGCCATTCTCTACACTTGTGATCTGTCGGAATAACATATATACACAGTGGTCTGCAACTTATTGTTTAATCTTTGACTGGAAAAAGCATTGGCTGAAAAATGCCACACCAAATCCAGCTATTCACACACACGAAAAAGATAGTAAATTTTACCATCCCCAATTCACTTATAACAGACAAAGATACAGAGTAACTCATTCACACCTCTCCTACAACCACGTTATCGCCTTCGTAGACACATTCGGCAGCGATTTGTTCACACCACAAGTATGAAGCACGAACCGTTGACGTGCATAAGAAGCACATACATACAAAAACATAGCTTCTAATACATTGCATATTTCAATTCAAAACTTAAGATTCAAAGTGTAACAAAGAAACTCTTTGGATGATATCATCAACGCACATCAAAAATTTAAACCTACCAGTGTTCAAACCGTAGATTCTAATAGCAACATGGTAAGAACATAGATGGAAAATGACATACAAAACTACCTCAAAGCTTTAGTGGTAGACTCTTCACTTGACTCTTTACTTTTATCGAATACAACCTTTGGCGACAGAGGCAACCAATCGTCATCACACACTACAATTGCTTTCACATCTTCATCTTTCTTTACAACCTATATAAAAGCAAAATATTAAATGTTTCAGAAAAAAAAAAACAAAAGAAAAGTCTGATTTTTTACTAATCGACACAATGATCCTAGTTCCAATAAGGTTATTAATAAGACCAAAACTATGGACACGTAAATAGAATAAAGAACAATCCCAAGAATCAAACAACAGTTTCAGGTCTTACATAGCCTTAAGTATATCAAATTTTTATCTCTTCTCTTGTGAGTTGTGAATTTCAATATACATAAAAAAACTCAGTGAGAAGAAAATCACCAGTGCTTAATGTGTGGAAACCTTTGGGTCTCTTCCTTACCGGTACCTCCAAGACATCAGATTCTAGGTTTTCAAACAGAGAAAAAGAATTTAATCTCTATATTCTCAATTTAGCTGGTTTATGAAAACGATTGCAAGAAAAATAAACCATGTTTCAAATATAAATCCCTAGAGGCATACTAACACACGAACAACGTTTGACATTCACGGTCGCCGGCATGAGAGTTGACTGGAAATTGGTATGGAGAATAAACAAAAAACATGATTAAAGATTCAGTATTCAAAAGTGTTTCATTTATATCTGAGAATAAAGTTTCAAATATTCATGTGTTTAATCGTCAGACTCTTTGATATCAAAAATGTTGAGGTCATTGATCAACGGGATACCTGAGAATTGATGAAGATCAGATCAACTCTCCTTAGTTCCCCACTGCAACAGACATTTCTTGCTTCCCAGAAACGTAGAAACCGGACTTAAACCTTCGAAGAAGACAGTTTGATTAGCCATTATAACGATTAAGCTTGAGGGACAGAGGCACAAAGCCATTCACCGTCTCTGATGAACTTAGTGGAAGGGTCAAACCCAGGGACAAAACCAAAGTTGTAACGGCGGTTCGCCTCTCTACGGCACTCCATGGCGTATCTCATATGCCCACGAAACTCTCTCTGTAACTCAGCCACGAACCCAAGAGCTTATCTTGTTAGAATCTTAGCGAAGACATTTTGGAATTGGAATGATGATTCAAAGTGTAAGAGGGTGACCTTTTATAGGGGTGAATACACCGCCTATGAGAGGATTAAGAGCCATTGAATGCGAAAACAGGGATGAAAAGTTATGAAAACATTGATGATGAGAAATCGTGGGAGAACCGACCGTCTGTGTTCTTTCTTGGAGACCATGAATGTATGACCTAATGGCGGAGGAGGAGACGCTTAAACCTAATGGCGGAGGAGACGCCAAAATACCTGGACCAAAGTTATTGACTTTGAGGCCCAAACATTATCATCCGTTTAACAGGCTCAAAAATTCTCCTTCCCTTTGTATTTTGAAGAGCCCAATCACAGACGATCAAAACCCAAAAAAAATCAACCTTCAAGCCCAAAAACTCAACCTTCAAGCCCATATACAGTCCGAACTTAATTTAAAAACTACAAAAACACGTGGCATCACTACATTCTCCTAATTAGTGATGTGGCAGAGGGAAATGAGAGAGAACTCTCTTTTATAGTAATAGATAGATAGATAGATAGATAGTATGAGCAAAATTTTCAACAATTTTCCTTTTATAAAAAAGTTAAACAAATGCTTAAAATAATTTACAACAAATAATCAGTACAAAAATAAAGAAACTTCTATTATAAATTAAAAATCTAATATAAAATGAAACAGATATATATTATAAAAAATCATTACAAAAAGTACTCAGTCAATAAGTTTACTATCTAAACGACAGATAACGGAGGCCCCTTCAGTGGAAACGTAACCGTCATAACATTCTAATTATACAGCTACCCCATCACACTTCGTCACGTTCAATAAACACTAATAAAAGTTAACATTAGACATTAAGCACATAACAACGACAAATAAAATGGGAAAAAATTGCAGAATTAAAATGTTCACAAACAAATAAAAATAAAACTACGCAAACTCAAATTGAGACAAAAACATATGCCGACAGGAAATTAACCTAAAAAAAGTCTCAAAAAATGTGTTCATTATAAATTAACTTTTTATATTGAAAATTCGGCGCGTAGTGCCGGCACACCCCTAGTATATATATATATATACTAGTATTGTTCCCCTACCAATGTAGATACGATAAATCTTTATGAAACTTCTGGGCACAATCAATTTTCATATGTACGTGTACACATTGAATTATTGACTCATGTATCATGTCCCTAGCAAAGTACCTGATAGGTCAAGAGGACGATACCATAAAACATAAGCCATAAGGACCCCAAAAATGAAGTAAATGATTGACATGAGCCATATGGCGAGACCTTATTGCATCAAAATCAGATGATGGAACATGATCAGTGGAAATAACAAACTGAATATGATTATCCTTGGTAGAAACAGTAACCTCATCCTGAATCTTACTAACTTTTTATAAAAGATACTAAAATTAACTGAAATTAAAAATATCATTCTATTATTTGAGAAACGTTTAAGTAAAAAACATTATAGCTGATTACCTCACCATGGTGATTCAGCTAAATCTAATTGTGGCTCATCATTAAGCCTCTGTAAGATTGATGACATGGCTAATACGGGATTAGCTTCACCAAAATATTTTTACTTACTGCTTTCTCAAATTATGTTTCTCTTAATATATTATCTGGTATCCTAATTACGACTCACTCGTTTCTTATCCTCTGATTTTTGTTTGGTACCATATTGTATATAAAAATGTTACATGTTCTATGATTTAAGCATATATGCGCTTCGATTGGCAGTAGAACTGTTGAGATTGTACAGTTGGTGACAGTTCTCGTAGCCATTTTTTCTCCAATCGGGCTTTTACAAATATTTATTTGTCTAAAGTTGTCAAAGCCCTTTTCTTCTTTTTTTTTTCTTTCACTTTTTTTTTTAAGTGTCCTTGGCTTTGAGTAAATAAATAAACATTTTTTTTTCTTCCAAAAAAGTAAAAACACATCAATATCATTATATATATTTTATCAAAAACATAAATTATTTAATTAATTATTATTTTTTTCTCTTTATTTTAAAATCCGTTTCTCCTAGGAAAAAAGTTCCGTATAACTGAAAGAGTTGTGTGCTTTGTTCTCATGATACTATTAACTGTGAGCATGGAGAATAAACTGTTCCAAGAACTAATAAATTTTATTTATTCAAGTATTTGTTTTAACGGTTTTTTTTTTGTATTTGAGAAAGAATAAAGTAAACAGTCACATGAAATTAAGATTTTGATATAGCATGAATGAACTAAAGAGACATATGACGAGGCACTGTAACGATACGGCTCTTGTGTCATGTTTCATCAGCTCAAATATATATATATATACTAGTATTCTACCCCTACTGCGTAGGGAAAAAGAAAATGATTGACTTCTATCTTATTAAAACAGGAACATTATAACTTCTTCTAAGTGGATTTTTAAGTTGGACCTTATATTATTAATCTATAGTCTAATAACAATATGATATTATTGTTAGTCTAGTATAATATTTACACAATTAATTATATTTCGCTATTGTTTAGGAAGTTATCTATCATTTAGGAAGTTAGTGCTGATTTGGCATCTTATAATTATTTGGAACATAATCATAATTCACCTTCTTATTCTTTACGAAAATCCTCAGTATATTCTTATTCTTTTTAAGCAGAAAATCTCGGTTACATTTAAAGCTCTTAATTTGGTATTAATTATAAAGCCCAATTCGATAGATATATACAATCCTTTATGGAATCATCCCTTTTCCAAGTCAACCTACTTTGCCTAAAATCTTGCTTAAATACTAAATCTCTTGATTTGATATTAATTATAGACTATTAATTTTTTTTCTATATTGTTGGAGAGTATATTTGTTTTGACGCCCTACCTAAAATATGAGGCGTATATATAGTTCTTCTCATATTCATCATTCAACATTTACTATCACCTGCAGTAAAAAAGTGACAAAACCAAACACTTTTGTATTCCTTAACGGTGTTAAACCTTACAGAGATAATTGGAAAATTCACGTTAAGATTCTTCATTGTTGGAAACAAAACACCAGTTATGGAGGCGACACATTAGAGTTGGTCCTCGCCGACGAAAATGTAAGTTACAGAAGTTTGATTTTTTTTTAAATTCATTTTCTAATCAATATCTTATTCAACTTATCTTTGTTTTGTAGGGTATAAAGATTGCATCATTTTTTAAAAGAAAAACTTCTGTAATTACACTTTATGATTTGATCATCTTCGTTTTCTTTAGTTTTTTTCTGCGAACTAAACATTTGTCTTATTTTTTTTTGGACGAACTAAACATTTGTCTTTTCTATAAATCTCAGGTGAATTCATTATCTTCACATTTTAAATTTATTTTCTAGGTTAGATCTAATCATGATCATTTTAATGTCACAGCTTTATTTCATTGGAATAACTATAGAAAAAATAGCCGCTACAAGAATCTAAAATATTTGATATCAACCTTCAAACACTGGATTGTATTGGTAAGTTTTCTTGACTTCTATTTTCAATTTAATAGTAGCATGACGTAAACAACAAATAAACAAGAACCAATGTTTAGTTGTTAAATATTTGTATTTTTATCTAATATATATTTTACATTTAAATATTTGTTATAGAACATATCATTCAAAAAGTTGTTGCAAAATCAACTGATAAGATATCTTCTCTCATAATTTCATGTATTTAATATTTAATTTAGATAGTGAAATATGTCAACCAAAATTCTGGTACAATCCAGTCACTAAATATTCTGCTTTACGTTTACCAACAAGATATCAAAAATAATCTTACGTTATAAGTATAATATTTTTGAAAATTTATTAAAAATATTTTATTTCAAACTTTCTCTTGAAAGCTATGTCGTTTAGAAACGTTTACCAATTTACAATATATAAAACATTAACAGCAGAGAAACGAAGTCACTGTATTTTTATGATGTTATTTTTTCTGCTTTGGATTTAGTAAATTTATTTTATTTTAGAATGTTAAGACTTTATATATATACACATAATTTTTTGTTTTCTGATTCTGATTTTGGTTTATATGCAGATGATCTATCATAATGATTCCTCTTTTGAAGCCATATATGATTTGTTCATTCTTCATTTTCTTTTATTTTTTATTTTTAACAGTTATCTTTTTTTTGTTATTAATTTTGGGTTATTCATTATCTTCTCATTTCATATTGATTTACAGTTGTCTTAATGTAATAATTATCGTAGTAAAATTTTATGATTTGATTACAAAAATATATCAGAAACTTTCTAATTATATAGTGATGTTCCTAAAAATATTTTAAATTTATTTTGTTAATCAATAAAATAATTGTTAAATATTAAACCCCACATTTTAAAAAGTATAAAATCGATGTTAAATGAATATGTTTGTTGTTTTATAAACTACAAAGAAAAACAAACTTCCACAAATCATAAACGTAGTAGGTTATTTCATACAAAACATATAATCTGTTAACTATCCATTTTTTTATAGAATTAAAAACATAATAATATCCGTACTTTGAAATATTATGATGTCAAGTAAAATTTAAATGATTTGTAATACATTTTGTGAAATATATTTGTGATAATATTAAACTTTTACTCACTAATTTAAACATGACGGGTTCAGGTATAATAAATGTCTACTTGCGTGTCAAATTTTTGAATAAAAGATGATTCAATTTGCAGCAGAGCGGACCGACCCGAAAACTTAGTAATAATTTGTATTATGGTACGTACTAAATACTATTAATTATATGATGACACATATATGTTATATATATAAATAGCAATATTTTTGAAAAATACATCCATGCGGCGCGCAAGCCAAAATCTAGTATTATATTAAAGAAATGTGTTTTGCATTGAATTTCTCAAAGAACTCTGGTGTAGAGGAAATCTACCAATGTAGATACGATAAATCTTACCCTGT